GACGAAGACGGCTTGCGAAGGTGCACCATCTGCACGTGCGACATGAACTGGTCCTCGGAGCCGAACAGCGCGTTGCACGACCGACACCGGTACTGGATGTCCTCATTGCTGTGGTGCACGGCGAAATGGACCTGAATGTCGACGCGCGACTCGTACAACTCCTTGCACAGCGCGCAGCGGTACAGGTGGATTGCGTGCACGTCTAACAGGTGCTTCTGCAACTCGTCCGGCACGACGAACGTGCGCCCGCATGGGCCACACCCGTACTGCGACTCCCTCTCCAGGTAATGAGAACATAGATGAGCGTTGAGCAATTGTTCGCAGCCGAAATTAAGGCCGCATAGCTCGCACAGGTAGCTCTTGACCGACGTGTCCACGTGCTTGCGCATGTGGCAGGTGAACGACTTGAGGCTGGTCGAAACCGCGTCGCATTGGTTGCACTGAAAAATGCAGCTGTTCATTGCCGCTGTTGACGATGAGGACGTGCTATTGGTAACGGCCATCGAGCCGGAGCCGGAGCCGGAGCCGATCGCATCTGACTGCGATGCGGTCATCTGCGGACTGGACCTAGCCGTGCTGCAGCTGCCGCCGCCGGTGGTCGCGTCGCCGTTGCCGGACGTGGCCGTGCTGTGGACGGCACTTGCGTGACAATGCAAGGCCAGGATACTGTCGAACGTTCGACTGCACAAGTTGCAGTCGTAGGTCGGATCCGAGCTGGCCTCCAGTTCCTTAAGCGAGTGTTTGTGCAACGTGTGCTTCTGCAGGTGATCTACGGACAGAAACACCTCGTCGCAGAGACCGCAAGAAATCGACTCGTTGCAAAACGCAGCGGCCGTTGCAGCCGATCCACCGTTCATGATGGCGTCCATAGTGGCTCCTGACGGCGAACAGCCGTCGTCCGACTTCAGCTCGTTCCTGGCCCCCATGTGGCCGTTGAACGACTCCTGAGCATCGCTGTCGCACTGTTCAGAGATGACGCTATACGGATAGTTCAGCAGTGGACTAGAGGCGAACGGGAATGTCCCGTTGATCAGGCTGTGCTCTGCGTCAAGATGCGCCAACAGCGCTTCCGACGAGTTCATCCGTACATTGCATATGCTACACAACTGGAAGCGGCTGTCGAAAGCTGACGCTGCCGAATCGCCGCCACCACCACTCATCAGATTTTCTACTCCGTCTTGGTCCTCTGTCCACGCTTTTTTCTCATCACCCTCTGAAGACACCGGCACGGAGTCCTTCTTGTGATAAACCTAGAATTCACGCTTAGCAGCAGAAAATTTCGACATGGCACATCTAAAGACTTGGAAAATCTACAGAAAAACAAGCAACAGCGACTTTTGGCGGCTCCTTGACCAACATCGAATCTTGCAACCCTGACACGAATCTAAAAGTGTCACAACGCAAACATACTCGGCTCTTTTCGGTCATCTTACTCCAAAATGAAACCACATCTCAAAAATCTCTAATCACCAGTCCACTGCTCCTTCGTCTGTCTATTGTTAAAAATACCTGCGTAACCGTGATGATGGCTTCCGTTACGCAAACCGAAATGTAGCACTAAAGTTTAAAAATCTATCACGGTTAAAACGATATCTTGTTAAAGATTATCGTGGACAAGACTTATCTCGCTGGATCGTACTGAAATGAACTTCAGAAAATACATCAGTTCATTGTTATAATTGAGAAGGCGTACATGACTCGTCTGAGTGACAGACTCTCCGCTTCTTATGATGACGATTGTGACTACAGTTCAGTTTTTCAAGACAACGGTGTTTACACAGTAGCCATAATTATAACAACAGTCCCGATATGAAGGTAATATTTAAAACGAATATTGTGGCGATGTAGTGCGTGTAAAGACGCCAAGCATCAGAACCGATAAGTCGAATATTCCAGATCACTGTTTGTAAAAGTCCTGAAATTTATATCCGGGGAAATCAAAGAATCAACGTCTATAAAACTGAGGAAGAACTGAAAATAGATCATTGTTCGACTGTTCACTGGAATAATTATTTGAGAAAAATTCACGTAAATTGTGTGTTAAATAATTGCACAAAGACCGGGGGTTCAAATCTAATGGGAAATAATTGTTCCAACTTCGTTTAAACGTCGTAAAAGTAACGCTAGGACAGTATGGCCACAAAAATAGGTACGTTATGGAATGTACAGACCTGTGCAATTCTTATACGAAACAGAACATCGCAAAAGTAAATTAGTTAATTCCTATCATCAGCAAATATATAGCAAACGGATCCATTGTTCTCTATGGCATATCCATTGGAAGTTACAATTCCCTGAACTGCGTGGTACCTTACAGCCCTTTCATGTGAATCATACGAAAAATAGAAAATGCGGAAAGGCTATGGCGATCAGTCTGAAGGACACAGTAAGGAATTACGGGACTCTTATAGCACGCCAGACTTGTATTTAAATTAATATCTCTGGTGGCATTATTAACTGACTACTTAATGTCAATTAATACTGTTTATTTAAAAAAATTTTCGAACATCACTCAATCTCGCATGATCATACAATTGCATATGGGAGCAGTTGATAAAAACTGGTTAATATCAGTCAAAACTTCAGTTCTGCACCAAAACTTTGTGTCCTGTGTAATATTAATACAGCCTTTTAATTTTACTTATTGAGCCATCACTAATTTTATGCCTCGCGTATAATAATATGTAATTAAATATAGGATTTTTATGAAATCAATATTCATTTTGGGATGTGATAACCGAAAAGTACCACTATTCTATATTGGGGGAACACCTCCCTGCCGCCCAAAAATATTTCTACTGTTGCTCTAGAGGCACTGATCAAGCCAGCAAGGAAGATATTTGAACAAGAGTTTAGGACAGTCTCCCACATTTACCACCTGCATGCCCTACATTCCGGGCCTATTTATTAAATCAATCGCTCAGTCAATTTCGATGGCCGCTTATCCTTTCTAATCACACGGGCAGCGTCACAAGGTGTCTTAAACGTTCCCGATCTTGCGCCATTGTCCGAGCTGTGGTAGAAGAAAAATAGATTCTGTCATTCCTGGCCTTCCTAGGGCCTTCGGCCGGTCAGTTGAACAAATAGCAGCTGTTTTGTCCTCCTTTCTGGAAGCGTTCGCAAAACGCGCCCAGACTATCGTAATTATAGCTTCTCAATCTGGGAGTACCTGCCTGAAGCTACATATAAACGAATTATGAACTGTCTTTAGGTCGAAAGGTAAACTAAGAGCACCATTAGTAAAGAAAAAAAACAGATTCCCCGTACAAATGCAAATATGGTAGTCAGATCGTCCTTGACCTGTAATCTGCGATAAGTTGACCAGATCCACTACCATAACGAGTCGGAGTGGTTAACCAGACAGGAGGCAGTAACGAACTGTCACGAGTTAAGAAGTATTAAGAAAATTAGAAATACCTTCTGACCGGCCCATCATCACATTACTACAGAGCACCTTAAGTCACGGAGAGGAAATGTAGGTTAGAAACGTCAAAAACATGGATTAGCCTACACAACGGACTTGCAAGGTCAAAAGTGAATCGAAAGAATGTAGAGTCACGAATCATTTAGTGGATACTTGTCAAAAATGATGAATGCGAGACTGCAGGTGGTCAGGGTCAAGCTTGTTGACCAGAACTGTGATTGGTGCAATATCGGGTTGCTGACATTTCTGCATAAAATTGGATGAGTTTAATGATTCAGCTGAAAAGGGGCTGGAAAATCCAGTCGAACCTCAGTTTCATTCATACAAGATTTGTACGTGTACGTATGTCAAGTGAATTTAGATCTTGATATACTTATGTCTCAGAGTGGCAGAGCTATGAACTGCCAAAACTGAGCAGATGATGAAATTAGAACAGCCTACCAAATACTTAGCAAAATTCGGTGGAAAATAATCCATATGTGGCGAACTCAGAGTCCGCCGAGGATTTCAAATTTATGGGTGAATATCACTTGAAAAGAACAAATATCAAGCGAACCCAGCGTGTTGCATGCATACTCTCTACAGTATCTCAACCACCTCAGTTTAGTCGAGAAAAATGTTATTTTCGGCGTTAAGCTGTGTGCAGCATAATGTGCTGATGGTTATAGGTTTAAGAAACGTTATAAAAGGTGTAGTCAAGAAGGAACACTGATCAAAATATAACTTAAGCCAGTAATAGTTTAAGAAAAGGAATTTTTCTCCGGCTTATGAGCAGATTCGAAAAAAACGAACTCTACGAAGCGAATAAAACGTTAATCATAAAACTGCAGTTACAATTACGATCCGTTTAACCGTGAAGTAAACGAACTCTGGCTGCAATCATTATGTCTATTTAAAAAGGCATAGCCGAAATATTCTCAGCTTAAACACGTCAGACGTAGAAGTGAAGGTACTGAATTCAAAATATACGCGGGAAAATTATCCAGTACACTACCGGATGAAAGGATCGACCGAAGGAAGCACTATGAAGTCGTTTCATCGTGCCATCTACTTTATGAACAGATGACGACTTATGGGCAAAACGAAAGAAAGACATGAACGATGCCTGGTGGACGATATGAAGAGACGATGAGTGAATAGCACCCGACAGCTGGATGCTCAAGACCTAGAAAATGCCGAGCAGAAACACTGTAACAAAACTGTACTTTCAACTTTCACATCGTCAGTGCTCTCAAACAGAGTATGGCATTTGTTGTTGTCACTGAATGATGTAAGTTCACACATAGACATCTACCAAAAACGTGATTCCTGTTGCTGGTCGATGGTCAAACATGAAAGCTTTAGATTCAAAAACGTCCGGCAACGACTCAAGACAATGGCAGCAAACATGAATGATGAACGCGAACTACCGTCTGATCAAGGCAAGAACATTCTCCCAGCAACAGGTATAGGTATACATGCAGACAGCTTTGCAGTGATAGATGAGGGAGCGGATACAGTTGAAGACACTGACCTTTCATGAAGAAATGGACGAGAGACTGGTCCGTAGATAACTCATCGCCGTGAAAGATAACTCAGCTCCGTAAAGGGTACTAAAGGCTGGCTCTAAATGCACTCAATGTCTTTAAAACGTTTATAGAATTGGTGTTTTTACGCAGCGGCTGCATAGAGAAACTTTACAGTTGGCAAGACACTGCCAACGAAAACATCCAGCACAACCGAGGAAAATTCAGTGAAACAGTGGAATCGAAGGTATATTTTGCATGACATGCACAAACTGCATGAAAAAACTTTGTTATGCCCTAAAATAATCTTGCTGTTCCTTCCTGACAGCAAGTCGAGAAATACACTGCGTTCTAATATTAGTTAGGGCGTGCTGTGAAATGGTTATCCTAAAGAAGTCACGTTTAACCAGCGTTGGACCACCGTGCACCGAAATCAATTGAAAAGGCGCGAAAGCAACATTCCTCACCAACAAATGACTTTCAAGCGCAGAGTTGGAGTTGAAGCCTCGTTGGCACAAGACGCAGAAAAAAGGATATTTCGATATTTCGTGGGTCTTCATGTGCAGCTTCAGATGGTCTGATCTAAATGAGAGAACGACCCTTGAGGTCACCAACAGCTGAACCGTCGTGTCACCGGCTTACCGAAAAAATCCGGACTCGCACATCGTACACTTGTACTTCCGCAGTCCCGAGTGCAGCTTCTTATGACGATTTTGCGACCTCTTGTGCTTGAACCCCTTTCCGCAAACAGAGCAGCGGTACGGCATTAAAGCAGCGTGTTCCTGCAACAAAGGCATCGCTTAGCGTTAGGCATATGACTACGACAAACAACTCTAAATGTTTATCTGACTAATTATCTGATCGAACGTACACTCGCACATCGCCCAGTCGTTACCGATTCGATTGCCACGCCGATCCGTCGGTGTCACCTCAAAGCTCTGCTCCACCCCCTTGTTCTGTCCTCATTGCGATGGCGTTGCCGAAGCCTACTTGTCTACAGCGAATGATGCGCCAGGAAGCGATGCAACGGCCAGCGTGACGGCTGACCGAATCAGTCTTTGTTTACTGAAGTTTTGTCGAAGTCGAAAAGTCAGTGGTGATTAAAAATGAGAGCCAATCTGAAAATGGCTGCCAATCGATCTGTATCATAACCTTTTTTGATTGGTCACAGTTCGAAACTTTTGGAGGGTTGGCGAATGCAATAAAAAGAGTTTGTTAGTGACTTTCAAATATTGCGGACTAACAAATGCTTACGCTACGATAACTATAAACTGATACGCAGTATCAGTAAATCGCTTTCAAAAAAAGTAGCAATCGCCGTTCTGACACACTCTTTAGTCATCATACATATCACCAGTGCCTACCCATAGAATTCGCAGCATGTTTGCCTTTGTAAATCGTGCTTAATTCGGACAAACGGCAACAAATTAAGTGCTCAAAACACTATGAATCAATAGAACACAAATGGCAGAACAAATTTGCAGCCGCGGTCAAAAACCATCTTACCTTACTGCATGCCTAGATGTGTTGCGGTGGAAGGAAACAAGACTGACATTTGAGTTCTACATTTATCGAAAACCAACTCCTTTTTCAATAGATACTAAAAAAAAGAACTGATTTGATCCCCCTTAAGGGAACCTAAGTCCTGCATTCCGCCTCTACACAAGAACTTCACGAAAACGAAGAACACTGCGCGTACGTTGAATTCGCAACAGTTTCAAATCCGAAATCGGAAAAAATCGCTCGTACAGGGCACATCCTGAAACTATATGGATACGTAGGCTCGACACTTACAGCGCGACTGACTGATGCGCCCAGGCTCACACTTGACTAACGTCTCTTAGAATATGCTACAATTAATTATTCGTTCATAATGAGCACACGCGTTTAACTAGTAAGAAAATGGCCTTGGAAATGAGTGGAACGGAATGGATATTACAGGACAGGCAGAAACTAAGGATCTTTCTCGTAATAATTATGTAAAATATTGTGCCGACTGGCCATAATTCCATCAAGACCACATGCGATATGATATGGCACCGCCCTTTGCTCGCAATTGTTTACGAAAAATCTGGTCTCGGAGCAATTATTCCCCTGCCAACAGACTTCGAAAAACGAACCCATGTTTAGATGTTTTTGCAGTAACATATAGGATATACCCGCTCCTGAAACATCGTTCGTGATCAACATGACTGCTATAGCGCATAAATTAAAGCGAGACGCACTTACCACAACAGGTGTTCAATATCACGGATACGTAACCCGATTAAATGGCCCCAGAACCAACCGTGGAGGGGGCGCAAATGCTCTGAAATCTGATCATAGCGGAGTTGCTTCTGTACAAAATACCTAGAACTACGTGTTTGATACATGACACTGCAGCATGCATTTAAAAGGTTTCGCAGTTCATGTAGTCTGGCATAACATCCTAAGCGACGTGAGCAACAAATTAATACAGTACAACTTCATAGTGATATTTCCATAATCCCGCATATAGCGTTTTGTTTCACGATCCCAACCAAAGACCCAACGTTTCGGTACGTTATAGTTTACTTATTTTTCGGTTCATTTGTGATCTTCTCCGCTATATAGTTTTTATTGTCTAGTATACACAGTAATACTCATTTTATCTCTGATTTCATTGTCCTCCCTCAAAACAACGTTTCTATGGCCGAAGATGGAATATTTGAAAAGTAGCATCAAATATGGTTTATTTAAACATAGTACACAAAGTTGATCAATCAGATGAATGATTGGTATCGAAGTTTCGGCCAGCGTCTCTGGCTCCATACGTACAACCTGTTACAGACGACGCATAAAAGCTCTAAACTTCACCGTCCTCATTGCATTGAAGCAAGCCTATGAGACACGGCTCGAATAATCCGTAATGGTCAATCACCTGTTTGATTAAATTATTTTCGCTGTGCGTAAGCAACCAGTGTCTCGTGTAGTTTTTCGGTTCCTATGACCGTTTGGGCCTGGAAGGTAAGATTACATAATGGGAAAACAATGTTTACAAACCTTCACATGGGAAAAAGACAACAATGGGCAATTCCTTGAAAAATGAAGACCGCGCAGAGAGAAGGGGACATCTACCAGGAAGAAGTTAAATGCATAAGTTCATACGCGTGTTGCCCATCGAAGTTAGATCCAATGATTTCATCTATTGACTGAAGCAAAACAACAACGAAACGGCCGGATATTTGTGCTAGATTTATCCTGCCAAAGATTTTGGAAGGAATTTAAACTTCAGTTTTCTAAACCTTCTTTTGGTTTGGTGAGTTTGGTGAGGTATTTGGGCTTAAAATGTAACACTGCTGCACTCATACTAAAGGACTACCTTTTAGCTAATTTGTGAGGAAGTTTCAGTATATCGTTTAAGAATTTCGTTGATCATTATATTCAATAGTTTCAACAAAAATGTTTCTTCAAAAAAAGTGTATTTTTACTGAATTACAAAGTATATTAACGCAACCAGCAAAACATAATTAAGTGGAATTGTTCATCAGTGGGCAGAGGTTTCATGACAAACATCTGGCAGAATTTTTACGACTCGTTTATTTTGGCTCGATATTCCAAATGCCAACCCGAAACAATATACAGATGCGTGATGGACACCCTGAGTTTCAGGAGAGGGGTTATGAGCAAACTGCATTCTGAATACAATATTAAGACTTCGTCTGTCAAGGTTAAGCTGAGCAGATTGAAAGAAATCTGATTTCTCATGTGCTCACTGCTCAAGCTCCGAAAGATTTTTGGATCGCAATAGCGGTGGTACCTAACGAATTACGCATAGCAACTAAGGACTTGCATGAATGCTGACTTCGTAAAAGGCACAATATGCGATAACAATTTGCTGACTACAGTCGTTCATGAAGTTCCACATATTTGTGAAACTGAGAACGTATAAATGCACAACGTGGTGACGGAAATGAGGATGTTGTACCATTTGACAGTCACGCGCTTTGTCACATCCCTCGGTAAAGATATGGGACCAATTAAAACCGTTCACGGTAGTCTGGAAAATATTCAAGTGTGTTGAGGCTGAAGCCGAAAATTTGACATATCTTGGTAATTGGCTTTCTGATCAAGAGCCTAGGTGAATTTAATAAAGCATAACTCCTCCACACTGCCTCCTTGCTTCTAGTTGCCTAGGGAGTATTTAAGCAGGCCATGCATAGCGTCATGGTATTTGAGCAGCTGCAATGCCAGTAGCATATAATATCATTTGTTTGCTAGAGCCACCTCGTGCTCATTACTAACGATGTTTCAGCAGCTGGTTGTTCTTAAATGCTACCGCATAGACATCAAAGTTCGCGTTCGTACGCCCGAGTATGTCGAATAACGCATTACTCCTCCAATACCGGATTTCACGGCGTATTGCACTGCCCCTTTGCTTCTGATTGCATGGGAAATTTAAGCAGGCCACGGCTTCATGAAGTGCCAAATACATCTCGCATCATTTGGGTCGCTAGAGTCATCTCGTGCTCGTCACGAAAGATGTTTCAGGAACTGTGCTACCTTATAAACATTTAGAAGCTGAGGACTTGGCATAGCAATGAACTAAGAACCGTAGATATGGATCAAATTACTACCTTCACATTTTCAGGCTCCATTTTCAGCGTCTAATTCACACTTATCTATAAAAATTTGCTCAGTGCTACATATTTTACTGTTCTGCTATAGGATTATAAAAAAACTTTTTCATTTATGTTCAGCACCTGCAACATTATTCAGTGGTTCAATAGATGCCTGCAGCGATAATTTCTATTTCCATATGTTGCATTTTCCTGCTAACGTATAGAGTTCAAAGCTTTTGTCTACCCCAAATGCTATACATGAGTTTTACCACGATAATACGATCATTCTGTGCCCGCGGGGTTGTGGACGTATCTTCGATGATATAAAAGCATGGTGCTCAAATCGTTTCATCAGGCGCTACTTTAGTAAGATATTACAATTCAGTTTGTGCAGAAAGATTGAAAGAAAAATCAACAAACTTTTGCCTGCCGAGTTGACAGTGCGATCGCTCACCTGCTCATGATTTCTCAGCTCTCCGGGACTGCCGCAGATATTATCACAATACGCGCAAGGAAACACCGCGGAGGTTTTCAACAGAGACGAAGTGTTGGTGTCATCATTGTTCATGTCTACCTCGGTGGCCGGACTGCCGACGCTGGTCTGCTCTTCAGATCGATAGGGTGACACTGCTGACACATTGTTCTTGGCATTGTCGTGAGTTGCGTCTACAAGCACATTTTGATCGTTAGCTAAAATCGAAATGAATAGCAAGAGATAATTATGAACAGTATGCTAAATTTCTTGCCTGCCCTCCACCTTCGTCGTGCTTCAACGGCAAATGAATGCCACAACTTATATTTCGCTGGGCGACGAGAGGAGAGCCCAATTGGAGAGATGGTATTACGCCTTTGTACGAAAAAGTAATGCGCAGAAATAAAGTTGCGTCGCTAGCAAACTTTACTTATCCATGATACTTCATGAACAGCCGCTCAACGGTCTCGCCTCAAATGGGGTTCCTTCCAATACAACAATATGTGGCATGTTTACGGTCAAAACAACACCGCATTTCATATAACGCGTGCATGTGCGTCGTCACGTAAAACATGAACGGCGATTTAGTGCTGTGTGTCAATCAAGTTGAAACTTTTGCAGCTGGCGATATGTTAAAAGACCAGTGGCGATGATACCATAATTACAACATTATAGTCAACACAATGGACGTAGTGATTTCGTAATCGCTAGGTTTCGCGACAAGCGACGTATTCAAGACCTACAGTCACAAAACGGCTGTCTCAGAATCTCTACGGAAAACGACCAGGATGACAGCAATGAATAGCGATCAAATTTTCAGGGAAACATAAACGTGACTCAGGCAGATAAGGAACCGCTGATAAGCGCATATGGCGTTCGAAAAGGTAATGTTAAAAACTAGAACAGAAAGACCCTGTTAGAAGAGAGCACTTAGCCACTGAGACATGGTGGTGTGAAAACGAAACCAGTAGCATGGCAGAAAGCATGATAAAAGAAGTGTGATTCTTCGGAATCTGTTCTGAACAAACAACATTGCTTGACGACTTCACAGCAATGCTAACCAAGCTCGCGAGGACCTTCGTTCTTAAGCAACGTTGGGACTAAACTTCATATCAATCAGTCAACCAGTTTCGAGGGTCACTTATCCTTACAGACTCGTCAGACGTTGTCTCCAACTTTCCCGATCCTGTGACAACGTTTGAGCTTCAGCAGAAGATAATCCGACCTTACAACATAGTACTTCGAGACATTTGCCGCATGT